TCTCCCCTTTCTATTATTATACTATACAGTTCCTGAAAAAGATGAACTTAATTACCACTGGATTGAAAAGCTGTACATCTGGCTTTTCAAGGACTCAAGGTTCCCATATATGAACAACTACCGGTATAGTAATGGAAGCATTCAGAACATTAAAATTAGATATTCCTTTAATCTTCCCTATTTTGCCTTTCTTTCATATCCTTTTGAATACTTTTCCTATGACTTTCACTGATGCAGAAAGCCTGCTTGTATTTTCTTCTTTGTTACAAAATGATGTCCCAACCAAATCTCTACCATTATTACATTGCAAACTTTGTACAGACATCTTATGCCTGTACAGACATCTTTTTCCTTCAGAAAAGCTTATTTACTGATGAAAATATTTAAGTGTTTTAATGATATTTCCTAAAGTAAGAAATAAAGCCCCCCAAACATGAATCTACCATGTTAGTGCTGGATGCTGCTCTATTTCCTGGTTTACAATGCTCAGTAGAGGTTTTGTTTATTTGTTGTGTCAGATTCTGCAAAAGATGAGAATACCACAAAAGACAATGAAGTAACCAATCATTCTGTGTGTGACCAAGATCATCCCAATGGTAAGTTATGAGATCCTTTTCATTTTTTTTCCTCCTGAAGAATATTATATTGTTTTAAAACTCAGATTTTAGGTTTTCTGGAATAAATGGAATCTGATGTTTTATTAGAGCCGAATACTCAGTGATTGGTAGCTGCCATGTTTAAAAGGGGCATTTGCTCTCCATAATCCTCATCACTCATTATATTTGTACTAGGCTGGCTTTATTTCTTTTTGTTACCTGCCTGAACTCTATAGGAATTGGGTTAACAACTGCTGAAATAAAGGTATGATAACAATGAGAATAAATGTGAGACACATAGAGAATAGATCCAGGAGATTAAATCTACATATCCTTGGAATACCAAGAAGAGAGAATAGAGCAAACAGAAATGAAGCAATCTTTAGAAAAATAATGGGGAAAAAAGGTTTCCTAATGCA